ATTACGGAATCGATTCAGAAAATTTAAGTGACGGTATCGTAATTTTTCACAGGAGATTCAGATAAAAATTACGGAACACTCCGGAAAATTTCCATGACAGTTCCGTACAACATTTCGCTCCGGAATTACGGAAAAGATATGTAATTTTTATTGAATATTTCTCTCCGTGTATATGAATGCGCATGCATGGTAAACGTTATCTTGAGTCTATGATAATTACCATGTATCGGATGTTTCAACCATCGGACCTTTTCTTCATTTAAAATTCTATTATATATTGTGCGTCTAAAACCGCAAGTCGTACATGCCAAAAATAGCCTTCTCCGGCAAAAGGTTGTATCTGCCAGCATATACGACCTTTTGCCTTGAAGAAACCCACCAAATTAACCCGAAAGGAAGTAAAACGTCTCGATTCAAGTTATCAATGGAGAAACGACCTTTTGCTTTTTGTAAAGTTCAAAAAATGTCTCACCTGGAGCGAAAAGGTCGTATCTCCAATGCTATATGTTTCTTTCATCTTGATATGTAGGGGAGCGTAGGGTAAAATGGACCCCCTGAACAAAATTGTATACTTGTTTTTAATAATAATTTTATCAACTATTTGTCATTTATTGTAGAAGTGAACATTATAAAAATTGTTGAAAACAAAGAGAATCAACAGGAATAGGATTAGGAATAACCGTAATATCCCGGAATTGGAAAGTGAAATGAAAATTCTTTTTGCTTGTTATTAAATATTTTTTCATTGCTCAAGCCCAAAAAGGGCTCTTTTACCGACGGTAGTTAAGCATGAGAAGTAGGTCTTTTTACCGTTGAGCAGTATAAAAGTGAGAAATGCACTACTTAGGAGTGAAAAAGTGAGAATTGCACTCCTTAGGACTGAAAAACGTGTGGCGCCACCCCAGCGTTAATGTACCAAAATATAAAACTACATATAAAAACTGATAAATTCAGCCAGTGAATCCCCTTCATTATCTTCAAAATTGTTAAATTTTAAATTTGAAAATACACCTGAAAATTAAAATGAAAAATAAATTATTAAAAAATCTTAATTTTGATAATAATAATATTAGAAATATCATTTCATAGAAAATTTTTTATTGAAACTCTGAAATAAACTACAACGTAA